GCCTACAAAGCAGACGCCCCGGGGCCTTGTGGGATGCAGCAGGGAATGTGTACAACAGAAACCTCCTAGAGCCTGGAGTTCTAACGGAGGTCCAGATGCCAAGCAGCTCCTGGGTCTGATGGGTCAGCGCAGGGACAGGCACCAACACTGGCACCTGGAGAGTCAAATCCTTTGGGGCATCCTTATGGGATATATATTTCCTGCTCGAGAAGCCACCCCAAGCCAGCGCTCCTCACAGGTCTCTGAATGGTCCTGTGGATCAGGTTGCCAACGTCTGTGGAGATGTGTGCCTCTCCTCCCCCTCTTCCAGGGGTAATGAGCCTTGGCTTCAAGCCTCATTAAACCCCATTATATAATCAGCCCCATCCCGGGTATCTTTATAACCCCAGCAGTTGCCTTGGTGGGAACACGGCCGTTCAGCTTCATCACCCTTTACTGCCACCTGCTGCCTCCGCCCCCAACCACACCGGGATCTGACTCAGCGTCCAGGTAAGCACAAGGTTAGGTTCCTGGCTGGTGTCAGCTCCTCCCCTGTTTCCAGGACAAGGGACAGGAATTGCTTATAGAAGTGGTGCCCACAGGGGTTGGAGGGACAGCCCCAGAGAGGGCATAACATCTTCCAAGATATCAGCTGAAGGGGACTGCTTCCTTGGCCCTGGGATATGACTCCAGCTGCTACCATAATGACACTGATGGGGACATCATAGAGTTAGAGCCACTTGTTTTCTTTTGTGACTGCTGCCCTGAAGGGCTGGAGGGCCACAGGCAGCTAACAGGAAAACTCCCAGAACTCTTTGAGAGGACTAGGTCATTCCTCAGCTTCGGTGGAAGACACTCAAGATGAATGAGTTGCAGAAGCTGCCAGGAACTGGCTTTTCAGACACTCTTCAGCAGCTGCCTGCCCACCTCAGGGACTGCCACCACCTGGACCCATGGAGGCAGTGAACGTGAACAGCAAAGCTCAGGGGTGGGGAGGGGGAAACATGTGCGGACGCAGCATGCTAACAAAGAAGCATCTTCCACAAAACAACTGCTCAGCTTCCCAAACCAGGAAGAAAGCAGAAGGCAATCAAGAAGCAAGAGGGACGATAAAGGTGGCCTTGCAGAACGAATGATCCGCCCCTGTGCTGCTTTCCAGACCTTGTGACCTGTGACCAGGTCCTTAACCTCAGCCTCCACTTCTTTATCTCTGAAGAGGGGATAATAAAAGTCTCAACATTATAGAGGGTTGTGACGTAGAAATTAAACAAGGGAGAGGGCTTTGGACAAGGCCTTTGTCACCACATGGTGAATGCCAATGACTCTTGGTGCCGACAGCGATTGGTATTCTCGTCACTCCATCACATGACACACTCCCCTTTACTGAGTCATGGAGCACCTAAGCACCAGCCCCTATCCCTCCCTCCCTGTGGACTGTAACACACTCTGAAGTAGACTATTTAAGGGTCTTTCGACACAGCCTCATCTACAGCAGCTGGGACTGAAGACAACGGGACAAAGAGCCACAGGTCCGTGGCTTGCCATGCTAAAGATGTGTGCACGGAGGACACCGTCAGACATGCTTGAGCAACACAGGAAGGACACAGGCTGTCCCTGGCATGTGACAGTTAACAGGTCACGTCAAATGACGGCAGAAAAACGTGTTCACACAGATGGTCTTTTCCGTCACAGGGAACGATAAAAGTGACTCGGGAAATAAGCTTTGGGCTCAGTGATTTTGCCCAGCTTCAGACTAATGGATGTGTTCCAGTCCATTAAGACATACTGGGTGTAGCACCTCTGGGGATGCCTGGATGAGATTCTCTAAATCGAGCCTGGGTGCAACTCCAGCCGCTAGGCTGTGGGACTCAGTACGTTTGCTGTATCTGGTGTTTCTCAAGTCCTGGCATGCTCTACTAATGGTGGACTTATCAGGACGCACCCCATCATAAGCTGAGGCATGGACGAATGACATCTTACATCTTGGCATATCTGAGCTGACCCGTGAACACCATTGGTTGGCGAGCCTTGGTGTGATTTGATTCCTCTGCCAACTGGGACTCTCACTCCCTCGTTTGTCCTGCGGGACACCCTGACATCAAAGGAGTAGGGTAAACACTCATGGAGATAGGGGATTCCTGTACCCAGAAGCTGGGCGCCCTGGGGTCCCGAGACCCTGCCCCTCCAGCCAGCTCTGCCCTGCATCTCCTGGTGTCACTACCAGGGATAAGAGGATGGTGTGTTACCATCCTTCAAATTACACACTGAGACCAGGACAGATGGTGACCGATGCAAACCCAGGTGGGCCCCAGGGACATGGCCCCAGGGACCCTCTGGGCTGGGTCTGCAGGAACAAAGCAGGCACCAAAGCCCCAAAGCCGGGAGTGACGGGGACCGGGGAATATGGCAAGCAAGCAGGAGCTAGTGTCTGGAGGCTGAGTTCTTTTCTAATCCCAGTGCTCTAATGAGTCCAGTAACTGTCTCAAGTCTCTTGTTGAATAGATGAATAGATGAGGAACCTGAGACCCGGATAGAAGAAGAAAATTCCTGCCTGAGAAATACAGAATGAAGGCTCAAGAAGGACCAAACTGAAGGCAAAACATGGAACAGATCATACACCCTGTGGGCCTCGGTCTCCCACAAAATCCAGTGCTTTCCTGTTCCTTCCGAGGAGTCAACGACAGCCTCTATATACAAATACCAGGATTATCCAAATGGTAACCATGCTCCCAAGAGCTGCCTTTTAAGTCTTATTATGTAGCCCAGGCTAGCCTAGAGCTTATTTTGTAGCCCAGAGTGGCCTAGACCTTGCTATGTAGCCCAGGCTGTCCTATAACTAGCTATGTAGCCCAGGCTGTCCTATAACTAGGTATGTAGCTCAGGCTGTCCTATAACTAGCTTTGTAGCCCAGGCTGTCCTATAACTAGCTATATAGCCCAGGCTGGCCTTCAGAAGGATCAGAAGACAGTGAAGCCCAAGGCACTTAGCTGCAAGAGGCTACCATCAGCTTTGTGCCAAGGTAAATCCCAAGCTTCTTAAGGCTATGGGGAAGGGACAAGGATAGGGGCCCTGAGATGACAGCCATAATTAACCATGAGGCATGGAACATCCATCAATGACAAGTACCTACCACATACAGGCCCTGTGCAAAGGGACTGGCTACACCACGTGTGTGGCTAATGTATAATAGGCCCATTTTACAGATAAGGAAAGTGAGGCTTCAACTAAAAATCCCTGAGCCTATTACTAGACTGTAGTACTCAATGCTAGGACTCACACCCAGTCATCTCCCCCGGGTCCGTATTTCTCGGCCTGGCACAGGCCTCATCTACTGCCCCAGCTGTTTGGTCTGTGGCCCCTTTCCTTCCTGTTGCTCACCAAGCGACTCCCTGACTACCAAGCAGGCTGACCTTGTGCAGAATCTCTGGCTTCCCAGACAGTGACCTCTCTTAACAAATGAATAAATTGGCCTCCTGCTGTTGACATCTCTGTCCTGGGGCTGTTTTAATTCTCTTGAGGTCTGGCCCGAGCAACCCAGGCACTGGGATTAAGCCATGCACTAGAATGTTCTCCTATTAATATCTCCATGGGTCCCTCTGGTGGAGACCCTCAGCCGCCCCGCAACACAAGCCCTGTGCGTGTTTGTGGACCCATCCAAGTTCAATGCTAAGGCCCTATCTACCCACATAATTGCGTGTCCGGGGATAGGAGTGACAGATCTCCTCACTGAAGAGCACACAGGCTCCCTGGAGAATAAAGACTGCTTAAGTAATAAACGACCCCTATTTAGAGATGGCAACGTCATTCCGTGTGGATCTCGGAGGGAACTGGTGCACAGGCTTGGGGCCCTAGCTACTGGGGAGGTTGAGGCAGGAAGAATTAAACTCGAAGGCATCAGAGGCTGTAGAAGTGGGCTGAAGACCAGGCTGAGTGATTTGGTGAGACACTGCCTCGGTAGTGGAGGGCTTGGCTAGCATGGGCGTGGGCCTGGGTTCCATGCCAGGGTGGGGATGGGGAAAAGGTGGATGAGGAGGAAGGAAGGAAGAACCAGATTCAAATCCTGGCCTGACTACTAAGTAGCTGTGTAGCTTTGAGAGAGAGAGAGAGACCTCTGGTGTCCCTGAGCCTCAGTTTCCCCATTTATGCTCTAGAAATAATCTATGTCTGCGATGGACTTTTACAAGACCAAAGTGAGGTTCTGAAGGCAGCAATTAGCCTGGTGGACAGTAAACTCCTCTTCCCACCCAGCAGATCAACAGGACAGCACAAGCAGTCATGGCAGGCCTAGGGCCCGGGGCCAGTGCTTCTAAAAGGCAACATCCCCCGTCCCCCAAACATGCGTCCTTGCTGGAGGAGGAGCTGGGCTCACGTCCATGGGTCCCCTCTGCCCGCGTCTGCACCTTTTAGCAGAGAGTGCCTCAGGATAAGATCAGAACTTTCTGGAAACTCGTCCCTCTGCCACAGGAACTTCCATCTGTAGTCGAGTCGTAAGAACCATGTGTCTGGCAAGAGTTTGTGAATGTGGACCGTACATTCCAGGCCACACTTAACCCGGCTTGAACTCCAGTACGGCACCGAGATGCAAAAGCTATACACACTGACCCCAGTTATCACGTGACGCCATCACAGACCCCATATGGCCAGAGAAACCCTAAGACAAGTGGTCGAAAGGTGGTGAACAAGGAGAGAAAAGGTGAATAGTCCCTCTAATGCCCCGCCCCCCCGCCCCGCCTTCCTTTCAGCATTGCGTCACCACTGCCAATCAGAGAGCTGATACTGAGGATGCGGAACTGCCAGTCACCTCCGAGCGCCAATCACGCTCCCTTCATACCGTCTAAGGACCCAGGAGCTGTACGTGTGGGAGGGTGGCGTCAGGAGATGGACTCGCCCTGACCCGTGAGATTCAGAATCAGGGTGAAGAGCACAAAAAGCATGCACCTGGCAGGGAAGGTGGCCGGCCGCGCGTTGATGGTCTGGTGACCCCGGGAGCCAATGCAGCCTAGGGGCTAGCGGGGACTTACTTGCAGAGAAATTGGCCTCCGTGTGGACGGGTGGGGTGGAGGGCAGAAAGGGTGCGTGGCCCACGAAGAAGGACCGCAGGGAGCGCTCCGACAGGAGTGGGGACCGCTGCTGGGCAGGGATGTTCTCACAGCTGCCCACGCCACTGTGGATCTTGAGGTTCAGTGGTTTGCTCTTCTTCTTGGCTCTGAAAGAGAAGCGGACCAAGGAGACAAGATGAGTCTGTCTGAGCCATCTACACAGTCAATATAAACACTGTCCCCCTGACCATGGCTGGGCACCCCTGAAACACAAGCACAACCTATACTAGCAGACCCCAAGCCTGCTGGAAAGTAACTGGGAATCTCTAAGTCTTCTAGAACATTCCCATCAGTGAGGATTCTACCCAACACATGATCACGTGACATTTGACTTGACACTAACATAGTCTATCTTTCGAATAATGTTTTATAGGCACCATTGTGTGGGCTGATTTTTTGTCTACTTGACAGCAGTTAGTCATTTGGAAAGAGAGAACCTCAACTGAGAAAATAGCCCAAGATTAGCCTGTGGGCAAGCCTTGGTGCATTTGCTTGATTGACAATTGATGGGAAAGGGTCCAACCTTTCAGTGGGGGTGGGGCCATCCCTGGGCTGCCGGTCCTGGGTTCTATAAGAAAGCAGGCTGAGCAAGCCATGGGGAGCAAGTCAGTGAGCGGCACCCTCCATGGCCTCTGCATCAGCTCCTGCCTCCAGGTTCCTGCCTTGATTTCCCTTGGTGATAGACGTGATGGGGAAGTGTGAGCTGAATTAACCCTTTCCTTCCCAAGTTGCTTTTGGCCCTGGGGTTTCATCACAGCAATAGAAAGCAAACCAAGACACCTATAAAATGTATACTTTTTTAATGTGAAAAAAAAAATAAACAAGGTGAGGGGCTTAGCTTGGCTTGGTGATGCGCTACTGTAATCCAAGTACTTGAGAGGTTGAGGCAGGAGGATGCTGACTTTGAGACTGGCTTGAACAACAGAGCAAAGCTCTGTCATGAATAAGCAAAAGGAAATTCAGGACTCAGGATGATATTTTTTTTATTCTCTTTTTTCCCCCAGACAACATCCTTGTGAGCATCTCACTGGGAGGGACAGAGAAGAGGAGGAAGCCTTAAAGACCGAGGGCTCCAGCTGGGTGCCGATTGAGCTCTGATCAGAGCTAAGTGAGGGTGTCTCTCAGAGCATAAGTACAAAATTCAGTGTCTAAACCTTTCGTTTCACCAGACAGGAGACTTGAGATTATTAACAGCATCGGTGGCAGTGACAGCAGCCACTGCTACTCTGAATTAAGTGCAAGCTGCATCCCAAACACCAAATCAGGGACTTTGGGGTATCTCCTCATTTAAGCCTTAAAGTTATCTCAGGAAGGACTTTGCACCCACGTCCTCTTTCCCCCGGGAGGACACTGCAGCGAATAAGACAAAAGAACACAGCAAAGCCAGCTCCAGAGGCCTCCTCTCAAATGCGTCCATCTGTCCGTGACCCCCTGAGACCAGTCACCCCGAGGGCCTGCACTTCATGAGGTCTGCTGCCTTCCCTGCTCAACAGACTCCTACACATGGTCCATGATCCAGTCCAAAAGTGACCATATCTGTAACATTCTCGCTCTCTGAGACAACGTCACTCTCCCCATCCTAGTGTCCCTCACTATTCTGAGGAACCCCCCCCCCCCGCTCCTGACCATGGCTCCCAACAGCCGTCCTCCGTATGAACTCCAACCCAGCAGCCTTCTCACCTTTGACCCTCTGTCTCCACAGCTCAGAGCCCTCCCCCCCTCCTGCTCAGCCTCTTTGATCTCCGTCTTCATAACTCAGCTCTGGTACTCTCTTTCTGATAGCCCCAGTTCCTCCCAGCATGGACAGGTGTTCTTCCTTCTCAGAAACTGCCCCCCCTTCCCCAGGCTGTGCTGGCTGTTTGTTTATTGTTTGTTTATTGTTTGTTTGTTCAAAAGGGCATTCAGAATAAAGGCTGTGGTCCAGGGGCAGAAAGCACACTACATTCTAAAACTCTGCCTTCCACTCCCAACTGCTTGCTCCCCAAGGACAGGAGTGAGACCACATCTCCTGCTGCCTTCCCACCCACCTCCCCAAACTCCCCTCTGCCCAGCACGGAGCCTAGCGCCCTCTGGTGGCTTCTGCAGAACCTGCTTGCAAACTGCCAGTCCTGCAGGGCTCTAGGACTCCTTTGGGTACCACCTTAAAAAAAAAAAAAAAAGCCACACTCTGCAGGCCACACCCCTCTGCCTGCCCAGTCACCCCTCTTGCACCCCTGTGGCAGTGATCAATCCTCAGGGGCCTGCTGCTGGGCTCAGGCAGGTTCTCCCCGTACAGCGCAGCTCATATGTGGCATGTCCCTGCCTGGACTGGAAGTTGGAAACAGTGAGGTTCCTTTGCCTGGAACTGTCCAACAGTGGGGATTTAAAGAGACATATGCATAAGATCAGCACACGGCTGCTGGGGACAGAGAGACAGGATTTGAGTCACCAGAAATGAGATGTCCCACCTGGACAATGGAGAGAACCCTGGACCCCTTCCCAAAAGGCCACGTAAGACCATGAGGAGCTATGAGGTAGCATGCTTGGCCCAGACAAGCCTACACTCCGTTTCCTGTCATGAGCACGTCTGTACTCTGGTTCTGCCCAACAGTCACACAGCCAGGCAGGAAGCCTAGAAAGAAACTGAGAAGTGAAGCCAGGCGGGGCTTTGCCTGAGATTCCCAGAACACCTCCAACCAGCCTTAGCCAGGAAAGGGGACAAGGGAAAACCCCTGAGAAAAAGCTATGATCACCCCCTACCAAACACCTAGGGGAGCCTAAGGCACTGACAACAAAGTCATGCAAATGGGAGCAAGACTGGAGTGTACCGCATCCAAACCAGCAGCTCAGAGATGTCAGAAGTGATGTGGTTACCAATCCATAGTCACGGGAGCAGATAACTGTCAGACAGACAGATGGAAGAAAAGACTGGTAGAAAGGAAGGGGAGGGAGGAGAAGGAAGAGAGATGTCATGAAGGAAGAATGAAATGAAAGTTGGAGGGGGAAAGATGGGGATAAAAGAACAGACAAGGAAAGAAAGGGGATAAAAGAGATGAGATGAAGGAATAACAGAAAGAAAGAAAGAAAGAAAGAAAGAAAGAAAGAAAGAAAGAAAGAAGGAGAGGGAAGGAGGGGAATGAGTGGGTAGACAGATGAGCAGGTGGTGGGTGGATGATGGATGGATGGATGGATGGATGGATGGATGGATGGGTGGATGAGTGGGTAGGTGGATGGATGGGTGGGTGGGTGGGTGGGTGGGTGGGTGGATGAGTGGGTAGGTGGATGGATGGGTGGGTGGGTGGGTGGGTGGATGGATGGATGGGTAGATGAATTTGTGTTTCTACATGAATATCATGGCTTAGGAAAATGGGGTTTTCAGAGAATATTAAAAAGATAAAAATGAAGAGTTAGCAAGGGGCTTGAATAAGACATTTCTTTCAAGAAGACGTATGAAGAACCAATAAGCATGTACAGAGATGCTGAAGAGTTAATAGTGGAAGACACGATCCAAATGACAATAAGCTACAACCCCAGTCTTCCTGGCCACACTCACACACGGGGGGGGGGGGGCTACTATGTGCTGCAGAGGACATGGAGAATGGGAAGCCACCAGCGTCACTGGAAAGAATGTGAAGGTGCCTGGCCATTATGGAAAACACTTTGGTCATGCTTTGACCATGTAAAACTAGAGTTTTATACAACCCAACAGTCTTATTACCAAGTTATATATCCAAAGGAATGGGAAATAGATCTTCAAACAAAAAGTGTCCCTGGACATTGACACTTGACACATTAATACATGAACACTGACAACCACCAAAGGGCAGGGGAAAAAAAACAAATGCGCATCAGTGGGCGACAGAAGACAAATGTGATCCGCCTGGATAGTCAAATTTCTGCAGTCTCACGATGTTCCGACTCATAGCCTAAAAACAAGTGAACCTCAGAGCTGTCACATCTCAGGAAGGACCATGCATTCCAGTTTATATAAATCCACCAGAGTGGGCAAGTCCACAGAGATGGGCAGCAGGCTGGCACTGCCAGGACTGGAGAACAGGAGGGGGAGTGGGTGCCAGCACATGTGGAGGTGCTGTTTGCTTTGAGGTCATGGAGGGCCCTGAAAGTGGGCAGGGGTGGTAACCACTGAGCCTGGAGAATACTAAACAACACCTAAGAGTGGCCTTTAGAGGGTTAAAATGACCAATGTGGCAACACAGCCATCCATCCAATTAAAGAAACCATTCTAATGCTGCTTGTTCTGTGTATTTACCCCTTGAGTAGCTGTGTGACCTCTGTCAAGCGACTTAACCTCTCTGAGTCCCAAGGACTTTGCCGTATAAGCAACTTCTACCAGGGTGGTTTTAAGGAGCCAACAAGCGGGATGGGGATACTCCAGTTGGCTAGTGGTGAATCCAGAGGGAACTACGGGGGTTCTTCCTTTTGTCCTTTGTCAAGGAGTACTTTTGCTTCTAGATAGGGGGCAAAGTCCTTCCTGTGGGGAGGCAGGTCAGCACTCAAAGCTGAGGGAAGATAGACGCACATCCATGAGGAAGACACAAGATTTCCTTTTGCCCTGGGCACACAAATGTCTGAGAGCCACAGTGACAGGGAAGAGAAACCGTTCCTGTATGATGAGGGTAGGAATTGTCCTCAAATGAGACACTCAAGGTACATCCCTGTCCCTCAAAGTCCCCCCTTCCAGGCTTAGAATGAATCACCCCCCAAATCCATATGTTGAGGTTTTTACCCCCCACCCCCAGAGCTCAGAATGCAAAGGTGAAACGGGAGCCTGGGTCTTGAGAGTTACAGGAGCTAGGAATACAGCTCAGCGGGAAGAATGCTGGCCTGGTGCTAACACAGTCCTGGGTTCGAACCCAAATATCTCATAAACTCAGCACAGGGTGATTGGGAGTTTGAGGTTGTCCTTGGCTACCCAGCAAGTTTGGAACACACAAAGACCTCATCCAGGAGGGAAGGAAGAAGAGGGAGGGAGGGGAGAAGGTATGAAAAGAAGACAAGCAGTAAGGTAAGATGAGGTCATAAGGATGGGGCCCTAACCCAGCAGGATTAGTGTCCTTCTAAGATGGACGCACATGCAGAGAAAGGGCCCCATGGGGTCACAGTGAGC